TTTATTACATCCGACTAGAGAAGAACACGGTCATGAGCATTATTATTATTATTATTTTTTTTTTTTTTTTTCCATATAAGTATACTTATATAAGTATGTTTGTTTATTAACGCATAATTGCAAGTGTATTTACATCCATCACCATGCACAAAGAGCCATAATGCAGTCGGAACGCCAGATAGTCAACCACTTAGCCAACGATTATTGACATTTTCATTTCCATTCGTCAAGGCATCCAGCCATTCATCCATGATTATGGCTTTAACATTTGATGCCATGTAATTATTGAGTATTTAGTATTGCCGCCTTTAAGCCGTGTTAAGTATTTGTTATTAATTTTTTTCTCATTTTGTTTTTGTTGTTGCAGTTTATTTGCACTTTTAAATGAATGCTGTTAAGGTTTATGGGGTACGGTCTGACATGCAATGACAGAGTGCCACCACGCAAGGGTATTTAAGCGAGAAGTGCTTTGGCCGAAAAAAAAAACAATTAATGGTGGAGTGGTGAGAAAAAAATCAAAGAATTGAAAACGAAATCATGTTTGATTGGATGTTTTTGAAGTTTTGAAAAAAAAAAAAACTTATAAATACAGTATAAAAAATTTTGTTGTTGCAATTGCATCAAGTGTGTATAAAATTCACGTTTATTTAGCATTTAAAAATATATATATTTAAAAAAATACACGTCAAGTTCGTCCATTAAAAAAACTATTTTTTTTTTTTGTCTAAAAAAAATATTCTTTATAAAAACCACGTTTGATTGGTCCTTGAAAAAAATATTCATTAAAAAATCCACGTTTGATTGGTCCTTGAAAAAAATATTCATTAAAAAATCCACGTTTGATTGGTCCTTGAAAAAAATATTCTTTAAGAAATCCACGTTTGATTGGTCCTTGAAAAAAATATTTTTTTAAAAAATCGACGTTCTTTTGGTCCTTGAAAAAAATATTTAAAAAAAAATCCACGTATATTTGGTCCTTGAAAAAAATATTTAAAAAAAATCCACGTATATTTGGTCCTTGAAAAAATATTCTTTAAAAAATCCACGTATATTTGGTCCTTGAAAACATATTCTTTAAAAAAATCCACGTAAATTTGGTCCTTGAAAAAATATTCTTTAAAAAATCCACGTTTATTTGATCCTTGAAAAAATATTCTTTAAAAATCCACGTTTATTTGGTTTTTGAAAAAAATATTCTTTAAAAATCCACGTTTATTTGGTCCTTGAAAAAAATATTTTTTAAAAAATCCACGTACTCTTGGTCCTTGAAAAAAATATTTTTTAAAAAATCCACATTTGATTGGTCCTTGAAAAAAATATTCTTTAAAAATATTCTTTAAAAAATCCACGTTCTTTTTGTCCTCTAAAAATATTCTTTAAGAAATCCACGTCCTTTTTGTCCTCTAAAAACATTCTTTAAAAAATCCACGTTATTTTTGTCCTCTAAAAATATTCTTTAAAAAATCCACGTTCTTTTTGTCCTCTAAAAATATTCTTTAAAAAATCCACGTTCTTTTTGTCCTCTAAAAATATTCTTTAAAAAATCCACGTTTGACTGGTCCTTGAAAAAAATATTCTTTAAGAAATCCACGCTTTTTTTGTCCTCTAAAAAATATTCTTTAAAAAATCCACGTTTGATTGGTCCTTGAAAAAAAATATTCTTTAAAAAATCCACGTTTGATTGGTCCTTGAAAAAAATATTCTTTAAAATATTTACATTTGATGGGTCCTTGAAAAAATTAATTTTAAAAAAACCACATTTAATTGGTCCTTAAAAAAATATTTTTTAAAAACCCACGCTTTAAAAAAATATTTTTTAAAAAATTCACATTCGGTTGATGCTTGAAAAAATGTTATATAAAAAATCCAAGTTTGATTTGTCCTTGAAAAAATATTCTTTAAAAATTGATTCTTGAAAACAGGGTGAGATAAAAAAGAACTGTAACAAAGTCAATCGCCAAATTTTTACAATTTTGTTTTTAAATTTTATTGAATGAAAGCAAAAAATGTCGGAAATAGCATCACATTTTAGAAAAAGTTTAGATTTGTTCGAATTGGTCACATTTGGCACGAATTACGGCCTTCAAAGGGCCAATGAATCCGTTACAGGCTGCCCGAATGTTGATCTGCGGTATTTTGGAAGCGCTTGTTTGAGGTGATCGACACTTTGGTATTTTTAGTGCCAACTTTGATTTCCAAAATACTCCAGACACAATAGTCCAACGGATTGGTATCCGGAGATTTTGGTGGCGATTGTGAGCTGGAAATGAAGCGAGGAACCTCATTTTGTAACCATTCTTGGGTGGCGCGTGCTGAGTCCTGTTGGAATGTCCAAGCTCTGCGGTCAAAATGTTTGCGTCCCTAAGGTTTCCATACACCCTCCAGAATATTTTCACGATAATATTCGGCATTTATTCTGGTGCCACGGTCGATTAATAAGAGCGAAAAACGACATCGGTTGTCATGGCGGCCGATGGTGTGCACCTTGGCCGGTGCTTGAGTTCTAGTGGCCAACCGAAGGTGCACATTTTTAGCTGACTGCTGGACAACGAATGTTTTCTCATCGGAGAAAACCAAATTCGGCAGTTCACCACTTTCGGCTAAGCGAAGCAACTCTTTAGCTCGTTTGAGTATATTTTCTTTCCGTTGCGGCGAAGTTCTTGCACTTTTTGGGATTTCAATGGCTTTACCCCTGGCTCATTTTTCAATATTTGCCGAATGGAATATTGTGATATGTTCAGCTCACGAGCCATTTTTTGGCCAGTGCGACGCGGGTTTCGATTATGTCTCTTGTTTACTTTTCGAACCATTTCTGCTGATGTTGCAGTTTTCTTCCGTCCACTTCCGTGACGTCGGGGTTAATATCTATTAAAAATCCATGCTTATTTCTCTTTAAAATCCACTCTTACAGCTCTGAACAATACGCGTTGATGGCTCCTAAAAACTCACGCTTATAGCTTATACGGTTATAGCTCACAAAAAATCCACGGTTATATCTCTTGAAAATCCTCTCCTAAGAAAATAACAATACACTCTTATAGTCCTTAAAAATTCACGATTATAAATAAAATAAATAAAATATAATTAAAAATAAATAATAAATAAAATAAAAGTTAATGCTCTGCAGATCCTAAAATACAAATCCACGGCTATAGCTCTGGACATTTATTAAAACATAAATAAAAATAAAATAAAAAAAATCCCCAATTATAGACCTACATATGTATGTGGTTCTAATGCCTTCAATTCACCTGTATATGCTAATGTCAACTATTCAAATGCCTAATTCTAATAAATTGCATTTTAAAAGGTTGTTAACATTTTCAAGTTGTTTCACTGGTTCTGAATTATGTTCGAACCATTAAATGGAGACATGAAAAACTATCTACGGACATTGTGTTCTGCTGTCGCCCATGCTGTTGCTGCTGATGCCGCAGCCGCCACTGCGCAACTCAGCATCAGTAGACGCAACATGAACAGCTTCCATCTTGCTGTGATTTTTTTTCTGTTTCCCCTCCTCGCTTTGATAATTTTTGTGGCTTTGGAAATAATTTATTAGTGACACACTCTCACAGTTGGGGAGCCCTTTTTTCGTCGTCGTTCTCGTCATCGTCGTGGTGGATGCTTTCATGTTTGTTTTCCATGGGATCAGAATTTGTTACCTTTTCTGTTTTTTTTTTTTTTTTTTTTTTCAGAAAGAGCTATGCTAAGCCAAGTTTAAGATGGGGGTATTCTACTTGATTTTGGTGGCTTGGATTTTTGTTATAGTTTTTGTTGTTGTTGCTGTTTTGTATATTTCGGTTGACAATGCTTCTCAAGCTCTTATTATGCAATTGAGATGACATTTTTTTTGTCGTGGAATGAGAACACACTTTTTAGGAAGGGCAAACGTGCAGGGTTGCCACAGCATTTTAGAACAATTTTTAGAATCTACATTGTCGAGTTGAAGAGCTAGGGAGTCTCTACAGACGAGGTTAGGGTTTCACAACAACTCACTTTAGGAACCAAGAGCCTCTAGGGACAAACTTAAGAGAAATTTCCCATAAACGACCTTACGGCCAGAGATTAATCCTGACAGAGATGGCAAGCCTAGAAATTTCAATCTTCTCTAATAATGCAAATGGGTCTATAAATGATCGAAAGGCAAGAGAGTCGCCATAACCAAGTTGACTCCGTCAGTGAGCCCTTACAGGAGAGTTGAAGGGCCTGAAAGAGTCTGCCGACAAACCCAGGTTCAAGGAATCAGCAGACTTAAACATGAGCTGAATCGTGAGACGCTCTAAAGAACCAGAGAAACTCTCAGGTGAACTGAAGAGCCAGAGAGGCGAGAGCGAAGAAGCCCTGGACTCTGCAGAATAACTAAAGGACCAAACAGGGTCTACAGATGACCTGAACAGTCAGAAGTAGCTACAGCCAAGGCTAAGACTTGGGAGTCCCTATTTTCAATCTAAACGGAAAACATTCTCTAATGTTGAATGCAAGGGACAGGTAGGTTTATCAAATGAAGCTTGGGAAAATTTTATGGAGGTCCAAAGGTGTCGGGTATTTCAACCGATGAGGAGAAGAGGCTAGGTTTTCTCCACAGACAAGTCAAGTTCCAGGAGCTCCTATAATTGATCTAACTGGCCATGGAGGAACTAGGAATTTTCTAAGAACAATCTTAGCTACAGTTGCATCCTCAAGGGCCAGGAGTTGTTGAAAAAGAATCGACTAACTCAGATGTCCTTAACGAGACGCTGGCGAGGCAAGAGTTTTCCCAGATCAGCAAATAATTGGAAGCATCTTGAAAAGAACTGAAGTAACTAAGTAAACGAACACAAACGTCTTAAAATGCAGGACCAGGAGTCTCTAGAGACAAGTAGAATAACTGGAGAGCTACTTAACATAAATTAAAGAGTCCCTGCAGCCCATCCTTCAGCTCGCCTATGGAGTCGAGACTCGCTAAGTCAGCATTTATCTAGTCTACGGAGTCGAGTGGGTTCGAAACGTGTTGAGTCAGTCTACAGCTCGCCTATGGAGTCGAGACTCGCTGAGTCAGCCTTCAGCTCGCCTATGGACTCGAGACTCGCTGAGTCAGCCTTCAGCTCGCCTATGGACTCGAGACTCGCTGAGTCAGCCTTCAGCTCGCCTATGGACTCGAGACTCGCTGAGTCAGCCTTCAGCTCGCCTATGGACTCGAGACTCGCTGAGCCAGCCTTCAGCTCGGAGTCGAGACTCGCTGAGGCAGCCTTCAGCTCGCCTATGGAGTCGAGACTCGCTGAGGCCGCCTTCAGCTCGCCTATGGAGTCGAGACTCGCTGAGGCCGCCTTCAGCTCGCCTATGGAGTCGAGACTCGCTGAGGCCGCCTTCAGCTCGCCTATGGAGTCGAGACTCGCTGAGGCAGCATTCAGCTCGCCTATGGAGTCGAGACTCGCTGAGGCAGCATTCAGCTCGCCTATGGAGTCGAGACTCGCTGAGGCAGCATTCAGCTCGCCTATAGAGTCGAGACTCGCTGAGGCAGCCTTCAGCTCGGAGTCGAGACTCGCTGAGGCAGCCTTCAGCTCGCCTATGGAGTCGAGACTCGCTGAGGCAGCCTTCAGCTCGCCTATGGAGTCGAGACTCACTGAGGCAGCCTTCAGCTCACCTATGGAGTCGAGACTCGCTGAACCAGCCTTCAGCTCGCCTATGGAGTCGAGACTGGCTGAGGCAGCCTTAAGCTCGCCTATGGAGTCGAGACTCACTGAGGCAGCCTTCAGCTCACCTATGGAGTCGAGACTCACTGAGGCAGCCTTCAGCTCGCCTATGGGGTCGAGACTCGCCTGAGGCAGCCTTCAGCTCGCCTATGGAGAGACACGCTCGTCTATACAAGATCCTTGAGCTCCGGCCCGTCTATACAGGATCCCTGTGCTCCGCCTCGTCTATACAGACTCCCTGAACTCCGGCTCGTCTTTAAAGACTCCCTGAGCTCTATAGAGACTCCATGAGCTCCAGCTCGTCTATAGAGACTCCCTGAGCCTTCAGCTCGTCTATAGAGACTCCCTGAGCCTTCAGCTCGTCTATAGAGACTTCCTGAGCCTTCAGCTCGTCTATAGAGACTCCCTGAGCCTTAAGCTCGTCTATAGAGACTCCCTGAGCATTCAGCTCGTCTATAGAGACTTACTGAGCCTTCAGCTCGTCTATGGAGACTTACTGAGCCTTCAGCTCGTCTATGGAGACTCCTTGAGCCTTCAGCTCGTCTATAGAGACTTACTGAGCCTTCAGCTCGTCTATAGAGACTCCCTGAGCCTTCAGCTCGTCTATAGAGACTCCCTGAGCCTTCAGCTCGTCTATAGAGACTCCCTGAGCCTTCAGCTCGTCTATAGAGACTCCCTGAGCCTTCAGCTCGTCTATAGAGACTCCCTGAGCCTTCAGCTCGTCTATAGAGACTCCCTGAGCCTTCAGCTCGTCTATAGAGACTCCCTGAGCCTTCAGCTCGTCTATAGAGACTCCCTGAGCCTTCAGCTCGTCTATAGAGACTCCCTGAGCCTTCAGCTCGTCTATAGAGACTCCCTGAGCCTTCAGCTCGTCTATAGAGACTCCCTGAGCCTTCAGCTCGTCTATAGAGACTCCCTGAGCCTTCAGCTCGTCTATAGAGACTCCCTGAGCCTTCAGCTCGTCTATAGAGACTCCCTGAGCCTTCAGCTCGTCTATAGAGACTCCCTGAGCCTTCAGCTCGTCTATAGAGGCTACCTGAGCTCCAGTTCGTCTATAGGGACTACCTGAGCTCCACTTCGTCTATAGAGACTCCCTGAGCTCCAGTTCGTCTATAGAGACTTCCTGAGCTCCAGCTCGTCTATAGAGACTCCCTGAGCCTTCAGCTCGTCTATGAAAAAATTGGCAACCCTTTTTCTTAATTTAGAATCTCCTCTACCCAGCCTCTGTTGCTGTTGTTGTTTTTGGTGATCCTCTTGTTGATTTTTGTAGTTCAACAAGTTGAAAGATATATCTTTAGTTTAAATCTTGCCATAATTTGTCGTCAGCTCGTTTATCGTTTATATGTCGCATCGTCGCATCACTTTGTTCGAAATGGCTGCAATCAACCTTTTTCGGGGATTGCTGGTGTCGTTGTTGTTGCTGCTGCTTTAGTTTATGTAAAATATTCTGTAGTCACTTAAATCGTTTTGATTGTCAAACACCAGAGACCGTTGTGTGGATGGGGCTAAGAAAAAAACAACTAAGGTGTTGTTCGGTTTCCTCTCACGAGTCAGTGGGCCCAATGGAGGATTCTTTGAAAAGAACCAGGGTTTTAGTTTATCAACAACAGGTTGGTCGGCTGGGGGTTTTCTTTTTCAGTTCTTTAATTTGAATTTAAATTATAAATTGTTTCTGATACGGATTGTTAACAAGCGAAAGAAATGGTATGACCTGTGGAATGTTCTGATCCTTTTTTTTTGTTTTTTGTTATTCTCTGACAATTATGTTATTTGATTTCATTTTATTTGAAATCTTTTGTAAGACAGATGCATGGTGGGCAATGATGTGCCTGATTGTCTTATAATGATGTGGGAAAATTATGGGTTCATTTGTTGGCTGTGTTTTCTCATTTTGTATCTTCGAACGCTTTTTAGATCGGAAATCAATGGGCGATCATTTTACATAATTTCCATGCATTTTATTCAGAATTACAAAGGAAATATTTTGTTTAACATCAAAGCTTACATGGAATTATTGTAAAAAGCGAAAACGTTTGGCTAATTCATAACATACTTCCATTGTCGATTTCAGTATCCGGACTTCAGCGGAAGAAAGTAAAAAGCGTAGGAATAAAACGGAAATTAGTTTTCCATAAAATCTCAATTGTTTTCTGAAGTAGGTCATGTCTAAACGAGTCAAGTTAGACTCACTGGCCACTTAGCTTGTCAACAAAACGAACTGATCTTCAGCTCGTCCAGCTAGACGGGCTATTCGCCGATTACCACTTTCTTTTAAAAAATTGTCACTTGTTGCTCTTTAACATTTCTCCCACGGCTATCCAGAATTTTTTTTTTGTGCACAAAACAAAGAGAGATATTTACATTCCATTCCAACAAAACACAGATCAAAATTGGATGACACATTGACCGCATTTGTCCGTAAAGCGGTCTTAAGATCATTCCAAGAGTCATCGAGACCATAAAGAAGATATTTAAAATCAAATTTATGACATTATCGAACAAAAGGTCACTACTGTGAACATCTGAACAAAAGGTCGTAACACAACAAGGCAAACACAGAGGAGCGGAAAATCAAATGACAATTTATTGAAAAACCTAAATCAAAAGAAATGTTCAAAAAATTAAACTCAAATTCCCAGCACTTGATTTGCCTACCACCTAAGCTTCTTAAGAACCACAAAATGTAAAACGGGCAATATCATAATTTTATTTCAGAAAATCCCCATAGATTTTGATCTCACACTGATTTGGCTATTATCTCGGGAAACAAATCAAAAAATCTTGAATGTATTGATGATTTTCCCTCGACATAAGTTATGTCCATTAAATCTTCTCTATGAATGGCTTACATGTGTATGTGTTAACGTTTTTATTATCGGACACGACCCTTTTTCATTATTATGTGGCTATCTGTCTGTCTGCCAGATCATTAGGAAAATCTGGAAGAAGTGGATTTTAATTATAATCGTTGGTGTGCATTTTTTGTTTTATTTATATTCTAGAAGTTTGAGTCATACAAGTTGATCTCAAGACAAATGGACAGTGGTTCAGAAAAAATACAAAAGAAAATAAAGAGAAGAAGATTCGAGCAGAAGCTCAGGGAGTCTCTATAGACTGGGTGGAACTCATAGAGTCTCCATAGGCTAGCTGGAGCTTAGGGAGTCTCTATAGACGAGCAGGAGCGTAGGGAGTCTTAATAGACAAGCAGGTGGCTAGGGAGTCTCAATAGACGAGCTGTATGCCAAGTAGTCTCAATAGACGAGCTGGATGCCAGGGGGTCTCAAAAGACGAGATGAAGGACAGGGAGTCTCCATAGACTAACGGGAGCTAAGGGAGTCTCAATAGACGAGCTGGAGGCCAGAGAGTCTCAATAGGCCAGAGAGTCTCAATAGACCAGGTGTAGGCCAAGGAGTCTCAATAGACCAGCTGTAGGCCAGGGAGTCTCAATAGACCAGCTGTAGGCCAGGGAGTCTCTGTAGACGAGCTGGAGGCCAGGGAGTCTCTATAGACAAGCTGGATGCCAGGGAGTCTCAATAGACCAGCTGGAGGCCAGGGAGTCTCTATAGACGAGCTGAAGGCCAGGGAGTCTCTATAGACGAGCTGAAGGCCAGGGAGTCTCCATAGACGAGCTGGAGGCCAGGGAGTCTCCATAGACGAGCTGGAGGCCAGGGAGTCTCCATAGACGAGCTGGAGGCCAGGGAGTCTCCATAGACGAGCTGGAGGACAGGGAGTCTCAATAGACCAGCTGGAAGCCAGGGAGTCTCAATAGACCAGCTGGAGGCCAGCGAGTCTCAATAGACCAGCTGGAGCTCAGAAAGTGTGTATAGATGAGCTGAAGCTCGGAGAGTCTGTATGGACGAGCTGAAGCTCGGAGAGTCTGTATGGACGAGCTGAAGCTCGGAAAGTCTGTATGGACGAGCTGAAGCTCGGAGAGTATATGGACGAGCTGAAGCTCGGAGAGTCTGTATGGACGAGCTGAAGCTCGGAGAGTCTGTATAGACGAGCTGAAGCTCGGAGAGTCTGTATAGTCGAGCTTGAGCTCTGTGAGCCTGTATAGTCGAGCTTGAGCTCGGAGAGTCTTGTCTGAGGCGAGCTTGTGGCTGGTCTGGGATTCATCTCTTCGACGAACTCAAGGCTGGTCAAGGAGACGAACTGAAGGCCGGCTGGCCAGAGAACCTCTCCATAGACGAAATGGAGTTCGGTGGGTGTCTATAAACGCGCTGAAATTCGGAAGTCTGTATTGACGAGCTTGAGCTCGGGCAGTCTTCTCTGAGGCTAGCTAAAGCTGGTTTGTGATTCTTTTCTTCGACGAACTCAAAGCTTATCAAGGAGTCTTCTCATAGACAGAGAGTCTCTCCATAGACGAACTGAAGCCTGGCTCAGTGAGTCTCTCCATAGACGAACTAAAGGCTGGCTCAATGAGACTCTAAATAGACAAACTGCAGCCTGGCGCAGTGTGTCTCTTCATGGACGAACTGAAGACGGGCTAAGCCATTATCTCCACACACGAACTGAAGCCTCGCTCAGTGAGTCTCTCCACACACGAACTGAAGCCTGACTCAGTGAGTCTCTCAATAGCCGAGCTGAAGGCCGACTCAGCGATTCTCTCCATAGGCCAGCTGACTGAGCCCTCTTACAATATTGAAATATTAAAATATTTTGTTTCGACACCACTGTCCGACGACGACAGGAGCAATTACACTTTTCAAACAATGTTTGACTGGCTATCGAATCAATGTAACCGGAATTTATGACCTATACATTTTCATGTTACTGTGTTTTTTTTTCTCCTTTGTTCAGATTCCCGTCGAAGGGGAGCTTGGCTATTCCCAATCAATATCCATTGATTACATTCAATGCTATTGGACATCCAGTGCTATTGTTGTTGTTGCTGTTTTGTGCCTAAGCTGGTTTCCTCACCCTGTGTGTTGTCGTTTTGTTGTCTTGACTGTCTGTCTGTGTGTCTATTTTTCGGTCTGGATGGTAATGACAGCTTAGAATGTTCTCAGCTCATAAACAATGTTAAAAAGGGCTTATTTAAATTGAAAAGAGAGGCTTAAATGTTGAGGTTTTCAGATTGTCTATTGACTGTATGTAAGTGTTTATG